CCTGTTTATTCCAGAATCGTTTGTGAAAACCGCCCCGGCAGAAGCTGATCTTAATGGACACACAACTGTGCTTCCGTTTTATCTCAACCCCCAGACAAAAATCTTTTGTGACAAACTCGGTATTACGGATATTCCATCGATTTTGCAGAAACGGGTGCCAACATCTGTTTCAAGCAAGGAAAGCAAAGATGATCCTAGTGGATCATCTTCAATATTCGACTCGTTCCTTTCATCCACCACCGCGACCTTTTCAGAGTCCAGTTTCAATCCAGATGAAATATTATTGGACGAAACTGGCTCGGAAGCGGTCGAGAAAGAAATATCCACTTGTGAAAATGATCTGTCTTTCGCGGGGTTAAAGCGAGTTATTTCATGTGACTCTGGCGCACCTGCCATGCTGAAACGTAGGAATGAATCGATTTATTCCGATACCCCTGAGTAGCATATTATTCGACCGGTTCTACTAAAATTTTCTCTTTCTGACGTGTTCTCAGGGAATGTATTAAATAGTAGCATTTGAACCTACTTCTATTCTAAACCGTTTGTATAGCGGTACTTTAGAGTTTATTCTCTCAGAATGATTTTAATAAATAGTTACTGTTGTTCTAAAAGCTCCTAACAGTTTAAAACAAATGCATGCTATAAATGGTGATAAATTTGTTACATTGGCATTAGAGCTGGGGCTTTTGAAATAGGTGGCGGTTTCTCGTAAAGTTTTTTACTTTCGCACTGTTTCTTTTATGCTGCTTACATAAATTGAATTGTTTAATTTTTTGCTCATTTCTGGACGCGATCGTTGCCTTTAGACTTTACTCAGTCAGCTTATGCAAATGTCCATAGTCTTGTTTCTAAGATCAAACAGAGTTACTTAACTTATGAGATACTTTTTACGCGGAAGAAGGCAGTAACTCATAATTGAACTTGCCCCAAACAAAGATCAGCTTTGAACAGTAGCCAAACTTTGTTTAAAATTGCCTAACTTTTCGTTTGATGTCACTTCGATATTGAAGTCTGCCACTGTCAATGCGCACTAATCACTTATCATTGCGTCTACATTATTCAGGTCATTTTATGTTGACTGTCGGGTAAGATGTCAAAAGGTGAAAGCAGCCTCCCTCAAAATGAGCTGATCTTCACGGATTGGGATTTCTGTACTTTGTACTCAAACCTTATTATTCATACTTGACATTAAAAACAGTTTCTTAGTAAGTTCTGTGGATTCCTCTCGGTCTACTTGGTCGCTCATAATTTCAACGATCTCTAGATGCATTTTCTCAGTAACAAAGAGCCCTTTGAGCGTATATCTTCAGATAAATATTTGGAAGAAGTGCCTGATCAGCAAATTTCCTTATGATGAGAAAACAGTTTTGGATGAAAGGATTTTTTGTCCGTTCACTATTAGCTCTATAAATAGTGAATTTCCAGAATTTAGAAGAATCAGCGAAAGAATTTGAATACTCTCTGGCATTGTCATAATAATTTCCGATACCTTGAAATTGATGCGTTACGAGTTAACGCAAAAACTGTCACGGGAGATTACCGATGAACGGTTCAAGTCATAAGTTGCGATCCATTTTTTTACGCATTAGCAAAGGAAATTACTAAACGTATGAGTCTGGACAAGTGAATGTCGCATTGTTTAAAAATATTATTTGTCATCGCACGTCTGCTGCGGCCGCACAGTAAGGCTTAAAGCATGCATATTTATCTTGTATCTCTGTGTCACAGCAATAAGTCTTAGAGGTACGGAAATACTGAAAAAAATCAGTTAAAAATGCTCACTTCAGACATAGTAATGAAAAGTAATAAGTACAGTCTCTACTACGTCGGGCAATGAAATATAATAAATCAAGGTAAAAGTTTGCTAAGTAAATAATAAAGACCGAATTCTTCATTTTCCCCAAAATCCTTTATTCTAAAATTTTTTAAGCATGAATAGGATAGTTATTCAGATAATGCCAACTTTGTAGATAAATAAGAATGAAAGTTAAACTAATGGCCAGAACTACGAGCAAAATCATACCCGACTAAGAAATGAGCAAAAATTCCTATGAATAGCACAAACTTTAATATGTAGTTCAATACTGTAATTCTTAATGCTGTGCGTCTACTGATCTGCGTTTTTTGCATTTAGTTTTCCGCAAGCCTTCTGAAATCGTCAGCTAGCGCAAATGGTAAATAAGGCAAACAAAGCAGCAAATTTTAAAGGAAGCTTGAAATTGAAGTGTAATATATGAAGCGGTATTGCCGTATTTCCCATCGGTAACGCGCACATTATCTAAGCGGAAAGGTTCAGTTAGGGTACACAACCAACGTGCTCGCTATGCAGCGAAAAACAAAAGATTCTAAACTTTTTCAAGTTATCTATGTACGCGGTAATTTCAGACTGCGTTTATTGTAAAAATAAATTAGTGTGAAACCGTGTATACGTTTGAATATAAGTGAATATAAGGGTTAACATAATAAAATAAGGTAAAATAAAATGCATACTACAATACAGTCACTCAAAATCTTAAGACTTTTCATATGAATCCAGTATAAAACGAATCAAGAGCATTTACTATTTCTTCAGACAAATCATCACCCAGTTCGTTTCCTGAAATTATTCCTTCGTCATCTCCTGTTTCTGCCGTAGTATCTAATATATCGCCTTCACGCTTTTAAAATCCCATTTTTAACACAAGACGCCGTAACACCTTGCCAACTTCCAACCAACCACCTGCACATTTTTTCATATGACACACTTTTATTCTTTCCCGATTTACCATAGTTTTTAATTCTAGTCATTATCCGCTCCTCCCATATGAAATGCAACTTCGACTCAAAAGACTTATCAACAGATAAATCGAGCAGCTCAATCTTAACCCACCAGGAATAGTTGCCAATATTGAATACTTGCCTACTAACGTTTTCACATTATCGGCAATATGCACAGGGTAAGATTCCATTATTAACAAGGATTTTGGATTGAAAAGGCCCGACTTCTTTTCCTCCAAACATTCCCACCCACATTTTTAACTTGCTTGACCCATCCCTTCTCATTCACAGCAGTTATAATGTCTTTTGGAAAGTTTCCTTTTGGCACCCTTTTTCTCGTAAATGTATCCAAAGGAGGAGACTTCCTCTCATTGGAAATCACGCTTAACACCACAATAAAATTCGACCTTTGTCCGTTTATTACCACAGAAACTTCTTTCGATACTTTTAAAATAACAGTCGTTGAACCATGGGGATTAAAGCTAACGGGCATTTCGCCTCTGTTGCCAAAATGTGGCAATCTCCGCACCACGTAAATCTTTTTAAAGAAAAGACTAGACTTCTCTTCTTTCATTTCCAGCCATCGGGTAGATTCTAGCCAAGACTCGAGGATAAACGAATACATAAACTGTTCAGTTTCAGTGTCTAAAACCCAATCCCATCATGGGCAAGGTTTAAAATTTTCTATTTTTCCTCTTCTGCAGCCACTTTTGCCCTCAGCAAAATACTGGTTGTTGACACCTAATGTCTTTCACATCATTGCGAAAGAACCCACTCGAGAACTGATTTTTCGAGTTCTGATCTGAAGTACTCCTGTACTTCAACTGCAAGTTTCTTCTGGTGTATACATTTTACAACTGTTTTCCCCATCCTCCGTACAACGTACACTGGACTCTTCAACGGTAAATTTACTGCCTGCCTCACGATTCTTTTTTTCTTTCGCGTAAATAACGGCTTCCAGCTTAAGCATCGCTATATATGATTTTCTCCGCACAGTACTTTTTTCTCCATAAGTATTTTTCTCAGTAACAACTTTCGATTTTAAAAACAGCATTTACAGAATACACGTGTTCAAAGACCAGAAGCAATATGGCAACTATTTTTAATTCTTTTGCTCACCTTTTTTCGATACAGCTACAGCCAAACATACTAATCCATTATTCATTTCTCTAAAATCTGCTTTTTTTCAGACAAGAATTAGACTACACGCTACCTACACATTTTTTGAGCATGAAATATTACAAGATGCGCGGTATTTACCAAATTCGAGTCATCTATAGGTTTTGACGAGCATGCAAAAGTATAAGATGCGCGTTATTGACGGGAAAATGCGGTAATTGCTGGATAAGAGGTACAGAATCGCTAACATCCTATTTGAGAGAACTTGAAGTACGTTTTATCAAAATGAATAGGTTGTTTTAAAGCAGGTAGTAAGTTATTGTAGGAGTATTGGCGGGCTCTAATGCACAATATAGTATTTCACCGCTGGAATGGTTAGTTTCCGTTACAAGCGCTTCGCTGCACGACTTGTTGGAGCACTACGTTTAACTTAAAGGTTTGAGCTTGTTTTGTTTGCAGAAAAAGTGTGGAAGGATAGTCAGCTGCCCAATCAATTTCGCACAATTTGCTTCATCATTCAGACCAAGGTAGCATTTAACGATTCGTTCTGTTAATAGTGTGCAAAGTTTCTAATACCCGCTTTCTCCAGAAGAAGAATATGGCCGTCAATGATGCAGAAATATGTCGCATAATCATGCGGTAAGTATTTCTGAAAGATTTGCAATGAAATCACTCATATTTACGACTGTTTTTTGTCTTTTCACACGCCGGACTGAGCAGTTGCTATGAGAGTAGTAGGTAAAACCTCACTTTACGCATGAAATATTGTTTTCGTCTGCACTTCACAGTTAATATTCGAAACGGTGCTCTGCCTATAAGCTGTGCATTATGTTTCGGTAATTTTGTCCATCAAATCTACCGAGGATCATTTTTCTGCTCTGTTGATTCCTATACTTTGATTACCATTTTAGTTAATTAATTGTGCAACGTATGAACGCGTTTCTTTTTAACTCATCCAACGTACAACAACGAGGGTGCACATATTATCAGTTGACCATTTTCGAGGGATACCCGTTTTAGGCATTTCATCTTCTTCATCTTCATCTTCCATCGCCGCTTCTCCTTTCGGGTCGCGGAGGCAGACGCGCCAGACA